TTTCTAGCCAATGAAGTAGTTATTCTACTAGTAGTTCAGGGGTTATGATGAATTCTAGTACTCTCGTGTAGCGGCATGGTAAGTGCAGCGGGCGGTATGGAAATTTGGAAGTTGAGGACCAAGGTCGAGGTTTGGTGTTGATAACAGTGTCACGAGCTCGGAGGAGCGGGGGAAGACTTCAGATGTTTAGAGTAAGCTGGCATTATCTTGGTGTCACCTGGGAACGGTGTCCTGTGTATGAGGCATTGTGTATTGATTTGCGAATTCTTGATTCACTTTGCAGAATTAGTACGGTTGAAGGTATGGAGGTGCAAACTTCGTTTCCTGGTGCGGAAGGTCGTGGGAGTGTATCCCACAGGAAATTGTATAAGTGTGACATGTTATTCACTTGTTTGTTAAGGATTGAAACCAAGTATGAATATTCTGGTACTATCGCTAATGTGAGAGTTTATGCCTGAAAGGTGCTCTATTCCTTTGGTTATAGACTGTGGGAGTTTGTTCCGGATTGGACGGCTGCTCGTGTGTGTCATGAATAGGGGCCATTGTGGATCCTTGGAAGGTTGTTGGCCGAGTATGGTATGATCATAATCGGCTTGAGGTCCGTTGGTGTGTCTAATGTGAATGAGTGCTCTACGTCAGGCCGGATGTGTTCATTCATCATAACACTATTTACGGAGGAGTCTTCGAGCGTTGGATGTTATTCCCGTTGTCATCTATACCATGTAATACTGTATTGTGCCACGTGGGTTGTGAGACGGCTTGATTATTCGCATATGTGTTGTGATCTCGTGTAGCTTGTAGTGTTATATGAGCAAGATGGCTCTCGAGATGCAGGTCATTTATTGCACCTTAGTAGTGCTTGGGTTTTTGTAGAGTATGGCACTATCCATCTCCCCAGGGTTGTATTATGCACTTGGCCTGCTTGTGATCGATATTCGAGCATTTCATAAGTATAAGCATTTCGGCTTAAGGGGCGTTTCCTTAGTGATTGTTATATGTGGATCAGGTGGCACGCCACCACGGGTATATTGTTTGGATCGGGTGGCACTCCGCCACGGGTATGTTGTGTAGATCAGGTTGCGCGCTGCAACAATGTCACGTTTGGATCAGGTTGCGCGCCGCAACAGTGAGATGTTGAGTACGGTTCCTTATATCTATTCTTGTGTATTTTGTTTCTCATTCTCTAAGAAGGGTTCATAGCATCTGTTCGACTGTTTTATTCATTATGCGGGCTGGGTAGTTCTTTTCCAGAGTTCGCTCTTCCTTATGTGTCATATTCAAGTGTAGCTTGTTAGCGCATTGATGGCGTCATATGAGATTTTGTTCAGTGTTTGAGGTGGCTCATTGTTGGAGCATCTTGTACTGGGTGAGACTAGTTTTTTGGACCTGAAATCAGTGCGAGCGGATTTATGCAAGGTGTATTAAAGAGAAAGTGTCACTATTCAGTTCAGAATGAAGTAACGGTTCTTGCCAAGCGGAGAAACTCCGTGAGTTATTGATTTGACGGGTGGTTATGAGTTACTGTACATCTCTTTCATCATTGCATTATTGTGAGGATTGAAACCGGGCTTATATGTGTTATGAGGTATACTACGGTCATCGGGTCAGTGAATTTGCAGTTGTTATGCTTGGAAGAGGTTGCCTTGGGCAAATGAGTTATGCGGTGCGTTGTGTGATGTCAGCATGGGTTCATGATCATGTGTGGGTTCAGCGTATGAAGATTAATACGGTGTTCGTATGTTAGAATCAGGTCTTGTAGAGAATTTTGGATGTTGGAATTTGGTTCTAAGGCTTGTTAGCTAAGGTTATAAGGAGGATTTTTAGTCTGGCTCGAGGTAATGTGCTCACCTGGGTTGTGGTGGCACGAGTAGGTGCACAAGGTGTTGAATAGTGATTTTGGAACAACTCCGGAGCAGTTCTTAGCACGTTCGAGGACGAACATATGTTTAAGTGGGGGAGAATATAACAACCCGGCCGGTCATTTTTCAGACCTAGCGCATCGTTCGGCAGTTTGAGGCCTTGAGTAGCTTCACTTCATATTTTATAACTTGTACGTGTGGTCGGAATTGAAATTCGGGAAAATCGGAGTCATTTCGGAAGGAAAATTCTCAATTCGAAGCTTTAAGTTGGAAGAGTTGACCATGGTTTGATTTTTAAGTAAAGGACCTCAGAATCGGGATTTGAAGGTTCCAATAGGTTCGTATGATGATTTCGAACTTAAGCGCATGTTCGGGTTGAGTATCGGGCAGCCCGAGAATATTTCGGCGCTTATTGTGGAAGGTTGGCATTTTTAAAGTTCAAGGATTTCTTAAGTTTGATTTGAAATGAATTTTGGTGTTATCGATGTCCGTTTGGACTTTAGAGCCTTGGAATAGGTTCGTATCGTGATTTGTGACTTGCACGCAAAAATTGGCATCATTCCAGGATGTTTAAGTGTAATTAAGACGCGTTCGGCGAAGTTTGAATGTTTGAAAGTTTAAAGAGGGTTTCGATCGTCGATTCGTAGTTTTGGTGTTGTTTGGTATGATTTGAGGCCTCAACCAAGTCCGTGTTGTGTTATAGAACTGGTTGGTGTGATTGGACGGGGCCTCGGGTGTGTTTCGGGATGGTTTCGGACTAAGTTTGGATGATTTGTTATTGCTGGTTGCTGGTGTCTGGTTTTGTTCTTCGCGAACGCGAAGGGATTCGCGCGTTCGTGAAGAAGTACTTTTGGAGTTGCTGGATTTGTTCATCGCGAACGCGACACAGAGGTCGCGAACGTGGAGGAGAAGCTGAGGCAACCTATGTGAACGAGACATGGAGGTCGCGAACGCGTAGAAAGAAGGAGAGTTGGGCCTAGAGCAGTTAAGCCTCCACGAACGCGATGCTTACTCCGCGAACACGAGGCAGTGGGATCAGAAGTCTTCGCGAACACAGCCCATTGGTCGCGAACGCGTAGAGGAATTTTGGGAGGCAGTATTTTTAGCCTTCGCGATCGCGAAGAGGATGGGTCTGGGCAGAATTATTTTAAATCGGGATTTTTGCTCATTTCACTCATTCCTCTCTTGCTTGGGCGATTTTTGGGGCGATTTGGAGGAGCCATTTTCATCATCAATTTTGAGTTAAGAGATTCCTACACATTATGAATTAAATACATGGCTTATATATAGATTTAAACATGAAAATTAGTAGAAATTGTGAGATTTTGAAAGAAACCTAGAAATTGGTATTTCTGGATTTTGACCATGATTTTGGAAATGGAATTAGGAATAAATCACATATTTGAATTCGTAATATTATGGGAATATTTTATCTTCAAACATTTTCGGAATCCGGACACGTGGGCCTGAGGGTTGACTTTATTGACTTTTTAAGCGGAGTTGTGGATTGTTATAAATTGATTATTTATGAGTATTAGAGTACATTTTTATTGGTTTGCACATTATTTGACTAGTTTCAGACCGATGTGCATTGGTTTAAGGTGCTAGAGAGGCGTTGAAGCCGGTTATGGAACTTCAGAGCGAGGTAAGTCTCATGTCTAACCCTGTGAGGGGAAATTTACCCCGTAGATGTTATGTTCTTATGTGCTACATGTTGTGGGAGCTACGCACATATGAGGTGACGAGTGTCTGTGCGTATGCTAGAATTTCTGATTATGTCCGGGTAGACTTAGGTTCACGCCATGCTATAATTGTACTATTTAAGTATCTTTGCTCGTTTAATTTCTTTATTTCGCGTTACGGTGTGAGACTAGACTTGCATGGGGTGATAGACTCGCTATTGTAGAGATGTGATGAGTTGCTCGATAATACGCGGAATAATTTGTGCTTCCCTTATGAATTCCTCCCGCGTTGTGCGTTTTCATCGCAATGCTTTTCTTAAAGTTCATAACTCACACGTTTATTCATGAGTGGGGTCAAGGACCTGTTAAAGCTCCTTATTCTAATGGGATCGGGTCGTTCGCCTTGGCAGAATTATGTACCACACTCTTATGGGAGCGGGTTGTTCGCCTCGGTAGTATAATAGATGCATCTATGATTCGTGTCGTTCGACCCTCAACAGTGTACACATTATTATGGGATTGGGTTATTCGCCTCGGCATTTCTATAAATACTCTTATGGGATCAGGTCAATCGCCTCGGCAGCTTTATGAAACACTCTTATGGGATCGGGTCGTTCGCCTCGGCAGCGTCGTGCGTAATATGTGACAAGAAGCCATCATATCCGTGAGCTTTTCTGATGTGAGTTGTGACGATCTATCTGGTGGGGATCATTCTACATATATACTCTGGTTGAGGAGGTGACTAATAATTAAGAGCTTGTATTTACTGTTCAGAGGAGGATCGTACCACGTACCTATATCTCTTTACATTGTTCATTTACTTTTACCATGCCTCATACTTGTTTACTTTCTATTGCGCTTGATATATTGGGCTACTAGTAAGTGTCAATGTCGACCCTTCGTCACTACTTCTCCGGGGTTAGGCTAGATACTTACTGG